GTAAAACGATATCTTTTTCTCTAAGTATCATTTTATAGCATCATTGACTGGGATTCACATTATTGTGGTCAAAGCTCTCTGTAGTGTCACATTTCCATATAAAGGTGATGGTATTAGTACATGTACTAACCCATACACTCTGTTTCCTCTGACACTGCTGATGAAAAGTAAAAAAATAAAATAAAATATTATATATTTTATTTTATGTACTTACTTCTCTTATCAAGATAATAGTAGATGCTACATTAATGTATTCATGTGCTGGTCTCTCTACACCGTTAACCTCTAAGAAGTCTATTAAAGTTTATACTGTACCACTTCGAGTGATTCCAGAGTTTCTGATCGATTCATAGACAGAAAGATCACCTACAGGAGAGTAAAATACAAGAAATAAAGTAAAATTAGTTTTCTTTTGTTTGTTTTTGTATGTCTGTATCTTTAGTGCTAAATGACTTTTAATAGTTACAAAAGTTATCATTTTTAGCGCTGACCGTGGAGAAGAGAGGAGTAAATCTGAGTGTCACTTTGGTTAGGAGTTTGGGGTGCAGCAGAGGATTGATTGATGTTTGGAGACTGCATGAACCTAAAACATGTCGTGTAAATGTAAAACTCATGTGTAACATTGTCATGCTTAAAAAGAACAGAAACAGTACTGTACAAACCTGTTTCTACAGCGATCTGTCAAAAAAGGGAAAGAAATATATACTTTAATCCCTTTAAAGCACCAGAATGTATAAACCCTTCAGTCTAATATAAATATGTGGTAGTCTCACCTCTTATCCTTGTGTGGCAGCATATACAGCACAACAACACGGGAACAGTGAGTAAACTTCCAAAAACAAGTCCAATGATGAAAGGCACAAGAAACGAGTGGCTTTCACATCTGAAACCTTAAATTATAAAATATAAAACAACATAAACGATGGAATAACATTTTGGATGTAGAGAGCACAAACTCTGAGTGGTCAGTGACAGAAAGCATAGATTACAGCTAAAGTCAGACTAAAATGAAGAAGTCAAACTACATGTATCTTTTAAAGACAAGAAATGTGATAAATACTACTGAGTAAGAGTAAGTTGGTAAATTAAAGAAATATGAACATAAATCCAAGCAGGATGTCCTTAAAACTCCCTGAAAAGTCTTCAGTTAATCCAAATTGCTGCAGCAAGAGCAGCAATCTAGGGACTAGATTACTGACAGGGACTAGAAAGAGAGAACATATTTCTCCTATATTATTGGCTTCCCTTCATTGGCGTCCTGTTAAATTCTGAATTGAATTCAAAATCTTGCTCCTCACATACAAGGTCTTAAATAATCAGGCCCCATCTTATCTTAAGGACCTTATAGTACCATATCATTCCATTAGAGCGGATCGCCCCATGCGTGGGGCTGGATGGCGCTAACGCGTCAACGAGCTAACTGCGCTAACGCGTTGATGCCGTGCACCCCCACGCACGGGGCTAGATGCTAGATGTTTCTTACTGTTAAAAAGGAGTTTTTCCTTCTCACATTTGCTGAAGCACTTGCTCATAAAGGGTCATATGATTATTGGGTTTTCCTCTGTTTTCTTTGTATTATTGTATCGTCTTTACCTTACAATATGAAGCACCTTGTGGCAACTGTTGTTGTGATTTGATGCTGTATAAATAAAACTGAATTTTAATTTTTACAATTTTTTTGAAAATATATAAAATGATTTATTAAATTAGGAATTTATATTAGATGCCTGAGTTAGCTTTTGTTGCTTGATATTTTTCATGGCTGGGCAAAAATTTTCACAAGCAGGAAGTTGAGGAAATGCAGTAGCATGCAAGGACCTGGAGCCACACATATGGAAAATGCTGCAGAGACAGCCATCATTGGCTTTGAGGTATGAACCCCGAGTTGGTTAATGTGTTTCACCACACCAGACGGTCATAGCATGGTTTTGTGTGCGTACACCATGCCAAAATAAATAAATAAATAAAAGTTGTGAGATGCCAAATTGACTCCAAACCCACAGGTAGCAGGACCTGGCTATCGTTGGTGTGTTAAAATGTTGAGCGATAGTAATTGATAAATAAAGAAGAATCAGCCCCTTCATCAGCAGTATGAGCTGCTGGCATCTAAATATTGTTTTGTTAACAGATTACTTTTATTTATTACTTATTTCTTTTGTTGGTAGTACCTATATTCATCTTTTGAGAGCGATAAACAGAAAAGTTGTATCTGGTGTTCTATTCCTGTCAGGATTTTGCTATAAATTGAAACAAAAGTGATTCAGATCTATTGTACAACAAAATATAACAGATTCTCATTTTGGCTCCCTAGGTTTTGAGAATTTTAGCAGTTTCACAATCAATTATATATATATATATATATATATATATCCCTTCTTTTGACCAAGTAGTTTAAGACATGGGACAAAAATAATGAATAATGAATGAATCAATAGCAAAGAAAATTTTGTCAGCTGTTAATTTCATGTTAATTATGGATTTAATTTGTTTTATATCTGAACAAAATACAGCACTTACCATTTGTCTCAATTGTGACTGAAACACTGTCCTCTGTGAAGAAAACTGGGTCTCCTCTTCCTCCTCTGCAGTAATAGATGCCTCCTTCTGCGACACTGAAAGTGTGGGATGATGTTCCGTTTGTTATTCTCTGGGCTGCAGAAGACTCTGAGGTACGTCTGAACCAGTAATATCTCCATCTTGCAGAGTCGTTCACAGAGCAGTTCAGGGTCACGCTGCCCCCCAGTGAGGCCCGAGGTTTTTCAGTTTGTGCTGGTCAGTTTGGAAAACACAAGTAAAGCATTAAGGTAGAAAAAATATGGTTACTTTATTACATCTTAATAGAAAAGAATGCCAATATTGTTAATTATTATACATGTAATCCATAACATGGACATAAGATAGAAAACCTATCAAAATGTTTAAAGTGATAACATGTACAATTTAAATAAAAATATTTGCTAATTACTTATCCTTATCAAGGTCATAGGCGGGCTGAATTTCTATCCGAGTTACCACAAGGCAAGATGCAAGGTACCACATGGAGATGTCGCCAGGCTGATGCCCTGGAGACAGACCTGGGAGGGTGCACAAGTTGAGCACCTACTTGCTGGGCCTTAGCACATGGGGCCCAGCTGGGCGCAGCCCAAAAAAAGAACATGGGACCACCCGCCTGTAGACCTGCCATCCACAGGAGGCAGGCAAAAGGGCGACTGCAGTGTGTGCTTGGTGGCAGTCAATGGCATAACCATGGCAGACAGATCCCTGGCAAACCGATGGTTTGTTCTCTGCACCTTCAGGTTGGGGATAGGGTCCTGACTGTGATCTGCAGTTATGCACTGAACAACAGTACCTGCCCTTGTTGAAATCCATGGGTGGCTTGCTTAAGAGTGCTCCACCTGGGGACTCTGTCGTCTACTGGGAGACTTCAACACTCATGTGGGAAACTACACTGAGACCTGGAGGGGTTTGATTGGGAACAATGGCCTGCCTGACCTGAACCTGAGTGGTGTACTGTTACTTACTTTGACAGCATTCTGAGGGAGACTGCGGACATTAAGTCTGAATGGACCATTTTAAGCACCTCCATTGCTGAGACTGCTGCACTGAGCTCCGGCTGCAAGGTGGTTGGTGCCTGTAGTGGTGGTAACCCACAAAACAACTGGTGGGCACCAGAGGTGAAGGGAGCCATCAGGCAGAGGAAGGAGTCATGTTGGGCTGTTCAGCTGAGTTTAAAGTGGCAGAAATAAGAATCAGCACCTCCAAGTCTGAGGCTTGAGGTCCTCAGCTGGAAAAGGGTGGCATGCCCACTCCAGGTCAGGGATAAGTTGCTGCCCCAAGTAGAGGAGATTAAGTATCTTGGGGTCTATTTCACAGGTGAGGAGAGGAGGAGGTTTGGAGATCTGCAGTTACTGGTTTCCTTTTATACACTCCACCTTAGCACTTTGTGACTTTGTGTCATGGTATCTGGTCAGGTGTCCCAGTATTCTGAGTTTTAAATGTATTCCTTCCTCAGGATTCCTCCCTCGAACATACCCTGACCATTATTCTCATCACAGCCATCTGTTCTGTGTTTTTTAACTTTTTGAGTTTACTATTAGCCATTTATCATCACCTTATCTTTATCAAAAATAAAACATATACTGATAGATTATGCTATTTCAAACATATGAGTGTACTGGTTTGGAAACAACTAGCTAGTTAATAAACAAACTGGAAGACTGAACAACAAGATAGAATCAAAATATAATGGAAATACATTCAATTGGCTTTGAAAGTATTAAAGTATAGAATGACAGACAAACAGCACAGATCACAAATACAATGAGTCACTGTGCCTTGTCAGAAATACTGTAACAGTTAAACTCACAGGTTTCCTCCACAATGAATTCACTGCTGTCCTCTGTGTAGTAAACTGGATCTCCTCTCCCTCCTCTGCAGTGGTAGAGACCTCCTTGTGAGACACTAATAACACTGTTTGCTTCATTTCCTCTCATGAGCTGAGCTTTAGAAGAGACTGAATCACGTCTGAACCAGTCAAACTTCCAGCCAGCAGAGCCCTCCACAGAGCAGCTCAGTGTCACACTGCCCCCTGCTGGTAGGATTGAACTGTGTGCTGTCAGTGTGGCTCTGGGTTTATTTGCTGTTTAAGATACAGAAAGAGAAAAAACAGTAGATTGATGTCAATTTTCTTTAACAAGAATTTTGTTATGAAAACAATCACACTTCATACATTCAGTCAGTCATTTAAATTGTAGTGAGCTCCTACGTTAAGAAGTGGCTCGGACTTCCCAAATGCCTCATCAGCTTTGGACTCTATAGCGACAGGATACTGTCATTGCCTATCCCTGGCCTGGTAGAGGAGTTTAAATGTGCCAAAGTGAGGCTTGAGATGTCACTCACAGAGAGGCACTGCTCCCACCCTAACAAGTGGGAGAGTGTCAAAAAGAGGAGACTCTTCTGGGGAGTTTCATCATCCGAGCGACATACGATGTGCTACCTTCCCCAATAAATCTGCAGCTGTGGTTTGGAAAGGACCCATCCGGCCCCTTTGTACAATCCCAGCCACACTCAAGCACATCTTGGTTGGTTGTAGGACTAGCCTTACTCAGGGCAGATACACATGGAGACACAACCAGGTCCTCAGTTGTTTAGCCGAGAAAGTTGAGTATAAAAGAAAATCCATCAAAGCTCAACCTTTCACAAACCAAGAGGAGCGTCAGTTTTCATCAGCATTTATCCGGGAGGGAGACAAGCTGAAGCCAAGCCCCTCAAACCCGGACCTGGGCCCACTGAAGGTTGCCAGGGATTGGCAGATGCACGTGGACTTGGATCAGAGGCTAATTTTTCCCACCGAGATCGTAACAACTACTCGTCCTTTGGTCTAACTCCCCAAAAATGGTACCATGGGAGGAAGCAATTGAGGAAGCTTTTGAGCTTAAGAAGCTCAAAGTACAGAGGCTGGAAGATCAAGGTGTGCCCAGTGGAAGTGGGGTGCAGGGGCTTTGTTGCCAGTACAACAGCAAAACTGCTTAGAGAGATTGGGATCAAAGGACAGGTGCAACGGCAGGCTAAACGGCCGGGTAAAAGACTGAAAGTGAGTGCCGCTTCTCATAACAGCCATTCCTCAAGATTTTCTCCATTTAAAGCAATGCATTATCTGGGACTGTAACATCTAGTCCTTTTACTGAACCTGATTTTTCAAACTGTTTTTGGAGTTTATTATATATATTACATCTCACCACTTTATAGGGTCATGTATCTTTGCAAAGTAAAAAATGACCTGTGCTCATATAAAAAAAAATCAGATTAAGCACATGATAGACACATGGAATCATTATAAAGCTGTTTTTTTTGTTTTTTGTTTTTTTAGTGCTGTTGTTAAGAATACTTTTTTCTGGAAAGTCATAATTTTGGAAAGTGGGGTGGGGTGAAAGTCATTAGGTCCCTTTACCATCACCGTCACCACCACTGCCTCAGACTCGGTATTCAGACTCGGTGCAATCTAAACATCCCTCAGTATTTTAGCTACATGATGTAGAGGCACACATAGACTGACTAAAATTATCAAAAGATTTTACTGATTTCTTAACACTGTACATTCCCTTTTGAGAAATAATATTAGGTCTCCTTTCCTGTCTTTCACATGTGTACATTAAATCTATTTTTTATGTATGCTAGACAGTTCAACTCACACAAGACAATCAGTGTGAAGGGGTCACTCCATTTTGCTAAGAGATAGTCACTGCTACCCCGACATTTGTAGTCTCCACTGTGGGACACTGATAATCTGCTGATCCTGTATTCACTGGATGTTTCAAGGATGTTTGGGTTTGGCGATTTCCATTCATATGTCATCTCCTTGTCTTCCCCTCCTTGGATCTCACATTGAAGGATGATTGTCTCACCAATGAACATCTGAGGCCAACGGTGTTGCAACTTTACAACATACAGGACTGTTCCCAAAAAACAAACACAATGTGAAGAAAACACAAATATATAAAAGAGAAAAGAAATTAATAGGTAAAAGGTTTATGAAGTGTTACTTTGATGTCAGTGATTAATATTTGTTATTTCAAAATGTAACACTCACCCCGTTTCTTAATTTTAACTGGAACGCTGTCCTCTGTGGAGAAAACTGGATCTCCTCTACCTCCTCTGCAGTAATAGATGCCTCCTTCTGAAATACTGATCGTGTGCTCTGATGTTCCAGCTCCTATTTTCTGAGCCACAGAAAACTCCGAATCACGTCTGAACCAGTCAAACTTCCAGCCAGCAGAGCCCTCCACAGAGCAGCTCAGTGTCACGCTGCCCCCTGCTGGTATGACTCCCTCATGTGCTGTTATTAAGGCCCGAGGTTTACTGGCTGTTTAAAGTAAAATATAAAACAAGTAAAACACAAAGATATGACTTGCAATACATTTGTTATAGAAATTTTTAAAAAATCATTATCTGGTTTGTTAGCTATTATGGACTGAAGCTATTAAGTTTTCCTTAATAACTTATTAAGGCAGTAGAGTTTTATGTGATATCAGTCAGCCATATAGGTAATTTGTGCTGGGAGCATCTGGCAGAGTCCCCAGTTATTCATTGTTTTTTTATTTATGCAGGTAAAAGCAACATTGAGATTAGAGATTCCTTTTTTCAAGAGAGACCTGAATGTCACAAATCTCCCTGGTATGGATATCCTATCTATTCTCAATATGTCTGGGATTGCTCTGGGGCTACCTTCGGTAGGACATGCCTGGAACACCTCACTGAGGAGGCTCCCAGGACATCTGAACCACCTTGTGGTTAATGCCAGTGTGATTGAGGATTTCTTTAAAGTATTACTTCTATATCCAACTGTATCCTGAACTAAGGTTGCCATATTTCCATGGTTGCACTGCTTTGCTTCCTGAGTCACAAGGTCGTTTGCCAGGATCACTTTTAAGTCAACCAAAGGTTTTGTGACATGGAACCAAACTTCTACCACACCTGAGTTTGTAATTAAGCGATTGCCAGAGTTGCACTCCCCTTCATTTATTGGAACCTGTCAGGTACAGGCTAACCAAGCACAATAGGACTGCTATTATTTTCACATACAAGAGTCTGGTTCTGGAATTACTGCAACAACAGGCAACAACCATCTTGTTTTCCCCAGCTCTATATATCCACTCCAGCAATGGAGGTGCAGAATAACAGCTAAATCCTTCTGTGCATTTTAAGGATCTTTTCCACCTCTTCATACCTTTCTTCACTTCCTCCACCTGTCCTCGTCTCTCATTTTTGATTTTCTTTGTTATGCAGATGATACACAGTCCTACCTCTCCCTAAAACCAGGCGTTGATAGCACATTGCAGAAAGTTTCAGATTGTCTTAGTGACATAAATTGCTGGATGTCTTTGAACTTTCTCAAACTAAACCATGACAAAAGTGACATTACAATTTTTGGCCAACAAGACTCTGTTAGTCTCACAAGAAATGACTTGGGCCCACGATCAGCTAATCTACATCCCCATGTTAAAAATATTGAGGATTCTACCCTCAAGCTGTACAAACAAATAATTGAGTTGTTGTTGGCAGTTTCTTCCAGCTCAGGAGCATTTCTATCCTCAAAACTATCTTGTCATCTAAAGATCTGGAAACCGTTATCCATTATTATTATTATTATTATTATTATTATTATGCCTTCATTTCATCATATCTTGATTTCTGTAACTCTCTCTATTTACGCGTCTGTCAATGAAGCCTGTCCCGCCTGCAACTTGTTTAAAATACAGCCGCAAGGCTCCTGACGGATGCGAGAAAGAGAGACAGTATTACTCCGATACTCACATCTTTACATTGGCTGCCAGTTAAATACCAAATTGATTTCAAGGTTTTATTATTTGTTTTTAAAGCCCTCCATGGCTTGGCTCCAGCTTACATTTCAGATCTCCTTAGCCTGTACCTACCCACTCGAACTATGCATTCCTCCAGTCAGATGTTTTTACTGGTTCTACGCACCCAGATAAAATCCAGAGGTGACAGGGCTTCCTCCATCGCTGCTCCGAGACTCTGGAACAGTCTTCCTCTTTTATAAAATTGTCTTCCTCTTTGGAAATCTTCAAATCAAATTTGAAGACCTATCTATTTTCAAAGACTTTCGGATCTGATGCCGCTTTTGTTACATTTTAGCTATTCTGGTGTTTTATCTCATTGGATCATTTATACACGTGTATATGTATACATGTATTTATGTCCAGTGCGTACTCGTGTGTGTGTGTGCATATATGCATGCATACGTATGTGCATATGTACTGGTACATATATACTTGTATAAACAAATGTATATAAGAGTCTGCTTGGGTGTGTGTATATATTTGGATGTTTTGTGATGTTTTTAACTCATTTATGTTAATTATTTCTTTTATTTGATTACATCATCCCTGTTCAGCACTTTGGCCGATACTTGATGTCTTTTAAATGTGCTATACAAATAAAGCTGACTTGACTTGACTTTCCTATACTTCATGATTCCACTGCTAAGTCTCCTTGTCCTTTTTCTTCTGTCAAGAGAATACATCGAATATGTTCCTCATGGTTTCCCTCACCTCTACAATTGTACTTTCCCAGCCGTCTGGTAATTCTTGCCTACCACCCAGATCTATCTCAACTCCTCCCTGTGCAGCATTCTTCCTCCTTCAACTTTCACCATTTAATTCTTCCCTTTGCCTTCAGTCGCTTCCTCTTCTTCTTGATTTTAAAAAGTCTCGATTCTTCTTCTTAATATTCAAAGTACTTTATATGTGTAGTATCTCATTATTAGGATATTTGGCAAATTCAAGAGATTAATTTCATTCAAGAGGTAATGGCAATAATACGAAAATAAATAAATAAAGACTGAATTACATTTGAGGAAAACAAGAAAGAAAGAAAAATCTCACCTGTAGCATTTCCATAGAAGACCGTACTGAGCACTGAAATGAAGATTGAAACCTGATCAGATTTTGTTAAACCTGTTTTTGATGAAGTTAAGGAATCACTCAATATAATTATATTGAAATAAACTTTAAATGTGCTACATTCAAGACAAATTGTATTGTCTGGAAATTTACTGTAATTCTCATAATTCAGTTCAGTTCAGTTTTATTTATTTAGCTTCAAATTACAACAACAGCCACATCGAGGCACTTTACATTGTAGATAAAGACCCTACAATAATACAGAAACATGTTCAATAATTTGTGATACTCATAAGACACAGTTATTAATGTACTCACATAATAAATCAAGCATGCAGAACAAAGAGTGCCTCATTGTCACACCCAACCCTGCTGCAGTGCTAAAGTCAACGTGTTCTAACGGTGAAGCTGTTTCTTGTAAAGTGTCTTTGTGCTTCCTTCCCTTTATAATGAGCTCATAGAACTATAAACAGCTACACAAACCACAGCAGCACCGTTCCACTGCTGACATTTGTTGTCCACATCAGCTTGCTTCTTGTGCCAAGAAAGGTCAAAACAGTCACATTATGTTCTGCATTTATTTATGTAATTATCATTTACAGTGATCATAGCACTACTTTCTGGTTGCAGTGGTTCCCATCATTGGTAATTCACTATGAAATACATGCATCATCTAAACTACTACGTGGACTAGTGTGATTACATTTGTTTCCTCGTTACAATATTAAACATCAGTAAACAATGAGGAAAAATTGCCATTTGTTTGACTGACAAACGCACTCTTTGCAGCTTCTCTACACATCTACACACACACACACATGCACACACATGCACACACACACACGCACACACACAAAGATATGTGTCATGGCCATAGTCACTCCAGTTCTCTCAAATTTTTCATAGCCTTGCATTAACACTATGGGTAGCGCAGTGCAAAAGGAGCACCATTAAATTCCCACTGTGCTCTTCTTGACTAGATTCCTTTTTTGATCGTCTGCTTAAAAATTTGGTGAACATAAAAGCAGCTCTAAGCTACAGACTGCATTTCCTTTTCTCTAGATGACGTAATTCATCAGGTCACTTTCAGTACATAAAAATAAGTATAGCAGAATGGACAGAAACTACATATGCACATATGCAAAGCTGACACAAAAAGAAAGTAGTACAATTTACTGTACTGATTATGTTACTTTTATTAAAAAGAATACAGCATTTATCATCTGCAAAGTCTTGAACTCTACAGGTGAAGTTGTTGTTGCTGACATGATCACAGTGTATAGGGATACAGTGCTCCCATCAAAAGTCAGAGAGTGCAACACTGTCAAAACAGTAACATCCAATCAATTGTTTAACCTCTTATCTAATTCAAAGTGACACAGGGACAAAAAGTGGTGTACATCTTGGAAAGGTCGCCACATTATCAGAGGGTCAACATAGAGAGAGAGAATCAGCCATTCTCAAGCACATCTTTGGTCTGTCAGAGGAAGTCAGAGTAAAGTTTATTCTGGCTTACTCTGTGGGAAACTCCACAGAGAAATATATGAGCAGGCTGTGGTTAGTACTGCGAGCCAAGTGTGCTAATCATAGATAGACATTTAATTTTAAATATAAAAAAATGTGATCCCACACATAATTCTCTATCATCTTGATGAAGATGTTGGAAGGGACTGGGACCAGAACAATGAACCTTAGGTGCCTTGGTTGGAGGTCAACTGTAGCAGCGCAGGAACACAGAGGCCCTCTGAACTCGGTGGCGAAAAATCCATGGCGTCTGGTCCTGGTTGCTCAGGGCCCATGGGCTCTGATTCTGTTTGTATGGGATGACTGGTGACTAGAGCAGCACTGAAGGCTTCAGAGATGACTCGGGAACCTGGAGCTGCTCAGGAGGCTTTGGTAGCCTGGGTTTCTAAAGCTTGAGCTGCACAGGGCTCACAGATTAGCAATTATCCTGGGCAACATAGGTGGGAGCTTCTACCTGGAAGAGGGAGCTCGAGGAGTTAAGGTTGCAGATGCCTCAGACTAACTAGGTGCAGAACCACCAATGAACTGCTTGGTATCATCAAGCCAGAAGAGCTGGCCAACATTGAGTCAGGAATTTCCAGAAAAATGGGCAAAGGTGAGCTCCCCAGACATGCTGCAGGTCTTGGGCTGGTAACTACTACTTCACCATCAAGAGCTTCTTCATCGTGCGAGATGCAAGTACTGGCAGAAAAGAAGAAATGGTGAGCATGGAGGATGAAGAGTGAGGGGCTGGTGAAAGGCTAAGCCTAAGCAGAGGAGAAGTGGTGGACCAGGACATCTTTCTACATTGGTGCTGCAGTGGTGGAGAGAAGCTCTGTCAATGTGTCAAATCTTTTCGTCCATTTGCTTCACCAAGGACAGATCACACAAAGACCCCTTTAACAGCTCATTTGGAAGTACAGAGATATGCTGGTCATTTGATGTAGGGCAGCCTACGTGGATATGTAAATGATATGTCAATTACAGATAGGGTTGCCAACTTTTAAATATCAAATAAGGGACACCGTGGCGTGCCAGAAGCACAGTGCACAACAAGCTGGGCATAGTGTAAAAATGCACTGTGTGTGACATTGCGGGTAACCATCAATTTTCATGATATTTGGTAGAATAAGGGACAAACCAATTTTGCTCATTATATGGGATGTGCCAGCTGAAATGGGACAGTTGGCAACACTAATTACAGAATACCCATATGAGGTCCTATACAGGCCCAGACTGAGTGTCATGTTGTGCTGTTTTTCTGTTCCTGTCCCTGAATCCTGGTTTGTCCCTCCTGGGGACAACTCTGTTTCTGCCTTTCTGCTCCCAGCAATTCTCCGGACTCCAAAAAGAACACAGATTGGACATTTCAGTTTCTCACTCTTCCACTTCTTCAGCCGGTGAGTCACAGACAGTTGTTCTGTGTCTATGCTCTCTGTCTACCAGCTGTCAGAGCTAAAATATATTTTCCATAAGCTTGCACACATTCTGCTTAGATTGTTCTTTGTCATTTTAGTTCTGTAGTCAAAGAGATGAAGATAAGGTCTTTCATGACTCTGTGAAAAGTCCCGGGCAGATATTATTTTTGGGCCTTGCCACCACACTGAACTGGAGCAAACACAGCATCTCACATTCTGTATGTTTATATGTATGTATCTCTCTCTCTCAGACACACACACACACACACAACCAGAGACACACATATTATAATATGAACGCATATTTTCATGGAGAAAAAGCAAATTATTCCATAATTGACATCAACAGGTTCATTAGTATTTTGCACAAATACAGTCAGATATATATCATATTATATCAGTCTTCTTTTAATAATGTAGAAGATTATTGCATACAAAAGTATACCGTGTTTATTGCCCAAACATTAATAAACTATATGTAACACTGAAAAAGCTGACTGTAAGTCATGCTGTTATTATCACTGAGTGAATAGAGAGAGCATGAAACTAAACAGAAGCACACCAGTTTGTACTTTTTTGTGCTAAAATACAGTAATATGTCTACAGTTATTAATACAGATATTGTATTTCATAATGATGATGACCTATAACTCTTATACTTATTGGGTGTGTATGACACTTGGGTAGCAGAGGAGCAACAGTGGCTTCATAAAAAGCTTCATTTTGGGGTTGCTGTTACAGCTCTCCTCACTGATCTGTAAAGCAAAAAAGACAACAAGATTTCCAATTTGAAACAATAATATGAGCTAAAGAACAAGAATAAATCATCACATCATACTCCATCATGTCAGCATAAATACCTAGAGTGCTCCCTCATTTGACTTCAGAGTAAATTGCTTCATCAGCTGACACAAGACTTGATTTTCCTGTAATGGAGAGAAGTTTACTTAAAAGACTTGTGTAGTCTCATAACAACAACAACAACAACAAAAACAACAATAATTTTCTTAAACCACAGGTTAATAAAGTTTTCTTTATCACTGTTTTTATTAGTGATATAAACAAAAATGCACACACACACAAACAAACAGATTTACATTTTTAAATGTAATCATAAATCATTATAATAAATTATCCATGTCATCACTGTAAATGATTGCAGGCTTTACTCACCCTTGTTTGTCTTAGTATTTCCTTTATCCCAGCGGTTGACCTGAGCATACATTGGACTGTCCTCTAAGAGAGATATGAGATCTCAGCATACATTTGTGCAACACAAATATCACATACAGCTGATGGATCAACGGAAAAAGGTGGATGGAGGTAAACTATAAGAAATTTACAACGGTCTGAAGATAATCTCACAAGTGAAGAAAGAAAGTGCAAGTAGCTTGGACACAGCGGTACCTAAATATTACACATTTATTACATATATCTTTGCAAAAATGTGCAAAATCTTAACTTTAAAGCTCAAATACTAAAGATGACATATCTAACTTTTGCCTTCAAAGTTTTATGCAAAAAATGTTAAGTGAGGATATAGTTAGATTTAATAATTATATTTTCATATTACCTAGAGCTCTTTCTAATTTGACTTGGGAGTAAACTGCTTCATTGTTTGATTCAGGACTTGATTTTCCTGTAAGTAGAAAGACAATTATTTAAACTTTTTCATATTCTCATAATTAAAATCAATAACTGTTTTTTATATCATAATTGTCCAAAAATTAGAAAATAAAACAGCACAAAAAAATAAATAAATAGAAAAAAACAAACAAAAAAAAAACATGGGCTTTTTTTGCTGCATGGAAGAGAAATCAAATCAAAGTTTTATATAGACGCCTTGAAATATAAAATAAATTAATAATTAAAAAAAATTTAAAAAATGATTAGTCATTAGATATGAATGCACCTGATTTTACTTGTGCTGAAACAGAGAATGGAATTGATTCTTCGTCTTCTTCTTATTATTACTATTACTACTAATAAAAGTGCTTCCTAAAGTGATTATTTATGCACTGCTACTGCTACACTGCTACAACAGTAATCTATAAGATATATTTTATACTTAAAAAAATATCAATGTACTTGTACTTAGACGAACAATTCATATAAAAAAGATTATATCAATTAAAAAAGATAAAAAAGAAGCTTTTATTAAATTATGTAAACTGTGAATAGAAATTGTAACATAAGAAGATTTACATCTTTAAGATAAGAAACAGACTGAACAATACTGAGTGGAGATGATGGCAGACTTTGCTCACCTTTATTTTTCTTGGCTTTTTGTTTTTTGTGGTGGTTGATCTCAGCATACATCAGACTGTCCTCTAAAAGAGAAGTGATATTTATTCAGCAGAAATGTGATATGTAGCTATTCACTGAAGGGACAAGAGGTTGACTGAAACTGAAATGAAAATCAACTGTTGTCTTTATGTATGCTTAGCTGTCTTAGACAAAAGACATACAATGTGTTTTATATTTAAAGATATAGATAAGTTCTGGGTATGGTTGTAACATGGGGAGAGTTGTAACGCCACTAATCTCATCCTATCTATCTCAGGGATGAGATAGGAGTCATATGATGATTTCAGTTTTTACCCACTTCCATCCCTGATTTCACATGGTGCTTGTCAGGGTTGCAAGTGTATGCAGATTTTATTGAGAACAAACTGGTTGTGACATACAAAAGTTTTTTTGTTTTGTTTTTTGTAGCAAATTTGACCCATGCACAGCTACCAGTCTCCTTTTCTGGCCCTGGCAGCTACTGTAAAAATAGTGGATACATGATTATGATGATAGGACCATAGCTAGACTGGCCATCGGGCATACCGGGCATTTGCCCGGCGGGCCGATGGTCATTTTTCGTCTTTATGGGTTTTTTGTTGTTGTTTTTTTTTTTGTAATGGTATAATCAGATGCTGGCAGATGTGTAAAAATAAGTCAGTTGTTTGGTGGTGGCTATGGCGGAGCTTCCACAGAGGCCAGCAGGTGGATGAGGGAAATGGGAGGCAGGAGGAGGAGAGACCGGAGGCGGCCACCGGTCCCAGTGTCAGGTGAACTGAACTTCAGGTAAGAAGTTATCACCTGCAGTCTATCTGGGTCAGATGTAAACCAAGTTCAGGTGTAGTTTATTTTCATTATGCTTACTTTTTACAGTCAGTTACAATAACTCGTACTGTGTACTAGCTAGCATGACGGAGTTTCGTCCCGTATTCAGAGAAAATATTACGCGTTTTGTATTGAGCTGAAAAGGAAGCGATTTGTTCCATACCTTAGCTGAAATTAAAAAGACACAAAGCTGGAGTTATTATGTGTCTTTGCTGTGCAGTTGCCTCTTCTTCTCTCATGCTCAGACCACACTCCACCACACAGACTTGCATTGTACTAACTTTACTAAGTGTCCGTTGTATTATGAAAGTTTGCTCTACTAAACTAATGTACACAGCCGCACATGCCAGGGTGTGTTTGAGATATGGTCAGTCACAGAGAAATAGAGACAAAAACTGTTCTTTTATTCCAATACATCACTTTTTTGAAGCACATTCTCTGGTGTCGACTGACACTTCTCCCCAGCATGTGTTACAACCCACCCTGATTGTGGAGTAGGTGATAACAAAGGAACACCATGTATTTAACATTAACACACAAGGTCTGTGGTATTCTTGCAGGGCTTTGAATGGTTGACATTTATAGGGAAAAAATGGGTAATTTGTGTAAAGGTTTGTGACCTCTAGCACAAAAATTAATTGTGTTATGGGTGCTGGAGCAAAATGTGTTACAACCATACCTGGTCTCCCCTAAAACACGCAAACTAACAAAACAAAACAAAAAAACCCCAAAAAATATGGGGGAATATCTCTAAGAAACAGCTGGAAACCATTTCTAAAATCATACTTTAGATGCAATAAAAATAACATACTTTAAACAAAGTAGACTTCTTGTTTTTTGGATATGAATTTCCACATGTGCGCAAGATTCAACGCTAGTGATCAGTACTACTATACGCAATGACCGGATCACTGGATGAGACTGTTGTGACCTTACCTGCAGCTCCCATCTTTACATCAGAGTAAATGGCACTCTCCTCCGCTCTACGAAGCCTCCCTGTCACGATAATGAAATCCACAAAGGAAAGAAAAAAAAAATTATATATATATATGTATGTATATATATATATACATACATATATACATACTAGGGGTGCAACGATACTCGTATCGATATTGAACCGTTCGATACAGTGCTTGCAGTTCGGTACGCATATGTATCGAACAATACAAATTTTTTTATTTATTTTATCAACTTTCCTTCTAACGATCCTGTCTGTGTTGAGCACTCAGTGGATCTGCGCTCGACAGTGCAGCCTAGGCGGAGTAGTCGAACGCAGATTCACTGAGCGCAGGGCAAGCTAGCCAGACAAGTTAAGCTCTCGTTGCAACATGGCAAATTGAACCTCCCCCACCCTCATTCAGATGTGGCGTTTGGAACTATTTTGGTCTTCATGTGACGTATGACCCTGAAGGTAAGCACGTCATGGACTAAAGTAAAACAGTATGTTGGATGTGCCATGCAAAGCTCAATTACATTGGTGGGAACTAGTGTGTTAGCGCAGTTAGCTCGTTAACGTGTTGGCCGTCCAGCCCCAGGCAAAAGAGAAGTGGAAGCAGACAAAAACAAAAAGCAGGCATGCTACAAACTTTACCCGAGTCATTTAGACAGCCGTTAGCACATGATTCTCCTTATGGGGACCTAATATGTTGAATATAGCCCAGAAGAAGCGTATAGTATAGTTTTTATTTTGGAAAGAGCCATTTCTCTGTAATAAACTCTCTTTTCCAAAGATGAGTGATTCCTCAATCAGATACAGGGCTCGCAAAATCGCTAGCCCCGGGACGTCGGGCTAGCGATTTTGCGGGCTATCATAGGAAGGAAAAATATATGTCAATGCTTTTGCATTCTTTTGGAAATGTAGCTGGGTAATTATGTCATTGGCATCGGTGAGCCACTGTCAATATGTGACATATTGAAATCGCGTTTGAATTTGCGCTTGTTTTTTGCTTTCACTTTGCAAACTGTGTATAGAGAGCGACAGCACTGATTGGTGAGTGATGATAATTTGTGCACCAATTCCTCTGACATCGTCTTATCAATCGTTAGCTTACTATGCAAACATGACAAGTGAAATCTCCCGCAGCAAGCTTAAACATTTGAGAGGTTGATCACACAGAGAATCGCTCAGCGTTATGTGAGTGCGTGTGTAAAAGCAGCAGGATATATATTTTAGTTCTGCTGAGCCAAATAAGACAGGTCAGGGTGAAGAAGTGACCACAAAACGGAAAAGTTTTGACAAATCAGACTATAAGGCAAAAAGAAAGTGCAGCTTTATGGTTTCATGGACAAAATAATTTCTGTGGCTGCGATATGACGAGCTAAATAACCAGGGGTGCACATAAGTGGTCCACAGGTGCGCATTCGCTGTCAAAATAAAAAACGCGCACAAGATAAGAAGTTAATATTATATAATTATACAATATTATACTTTAATGTATAATATTGTAAAGGAAACAAAGCAGGAAACAAAACATCAATCAAAAAATTGCTCTCTTTTTTATTCGGGCTACTTAAATTTATTTTGGGCTACCAAAAACTGAAGAGTCCCTGCCCGAAGGGGTACCAGGGATTTTGAAATTTTGCGAGCCCTGAGATATATATATATTTTTTTTTATTACTTTTTTGTTTCAGCAACATAAAATTTAAAAACTGTACTTTTTAGTTAAAATATATATTTATAATTTTAATAAATGACAAATTAAAAAGGCATGAACATTTTTTTTGTATCGAAAAGATATCAAACCGTGACACCAAAGTATCGAACCGAACCGTGAATTTTGTGTATCGTTGCACCCCTAATACATACATATATACATATATATATACACATATATACGTACACACACACATATATATATACACACACACACACACACACACATATATATATACAGGGAGTGCAGAATTATTAGGCAAGTTGTATTTTTGAGGAATAATTTTATTATTGAACAACAACCATGTTCTCAATGAACCCAAAAAACTCATTAATATCAAAGCTGAATGTTTTTGGAAGTAGTTTTAGTTTGTTTTTAGTTTTAGCTATTTTAGGGGGATATCTGTGTGTGCAGGTGACTATTACTGTGCATAATTATTAGGCAACTTAACAAAAAACAAATATATACCCATTTCAATTATTTATTTTTACCAGTGAAACCAATATAACATCTCCACATTCACAAATATACATTTCTGACATTCAAAAACAAAACAAAAACAAATCAGCGACCAATATAGCCACCTTTCTTTGCAAGGACACTCAAAAGCCTGCCATCCATGGACTCTGTCAGTGTTTTGATCTGTTCACCATCAACATTGCGTGCAGCAGCAACCACAGCCTCCCAGACACTGTTCAGAGAGGTGTACTGTTTTCCCTCCTTGTAAATCTCACATTTGATGATGGACCACAGGTTCTCAATGGGGTCCAGATAAGGTGAACAAGGTGGCCATGTCATTAGTTTTTCTTCTTTTATACCTTTTCTTGCCAGCCACGCTGTGGAGTACTTGGACGCGTGTGATGGAGCATTGTCCTGCATGAAAATCATGTTTTTCTTGAAGGATGCAGACTTCTTCCTGTACCACTGCTTGAAGAAGGTGTCTTCCAGAAACTGGCAGTAGGACTGGGAGTTGAGCTTGACTCCATCCTCAACCCGAAAAGGCCCCACAAGCTCATCTTTGATGATACCAGCCCAAACCAGTACTCCACCTCCACCTTGCTGGCGTCTGAGTCGGACTGGAGCTCTCTGCCCTTTACCAATCCAGCCACGGGCCCATCCATCTGGCCCATCAAGACTCACTCTCATTTCATCAGTCCATAAAACCTTAGAAAAATCAGTCTTGAGATATTTCTTGGCCCAGTCTTGACGTTTCAGCTTGTGTGTCTTGTTCAGTGGTGGTCGTCTTTCAGCCTTTCTTACCTTGGCCATGTCTCTGAGTATTGCACATCTTGTGCTTTTGGGCACTCCAGTGATGTTGCAGCTCTGAAATATGGCCAAACTGGTGGCAAGTGGCATCTTGGCAGCTGCACGCTTGACTTTTCTCAGTTCATGGGCAGTTATTTTGCGACTTGGTTTTTCCACACGCTTCTTGCGACCCTGTTGATTATTTTGAATGAAACGCTTGATTGTTCGATGATCACGCTTCAGAAGCTTTGCAATTTTGAGACTGCTGCATCCCTCTGCAAGATATCTCACTATTTTTGACTTTTCTGAGCCTGTCAAGTCCTTCTTTTGACCCATTTTGCCAAAGGAAAGGACGTTGCCTAATAATTATGCACACCTGATATAGGGTGTTGATGTCATTAGACCACACCCCTTCTCATTACAGAGATGCACATCACCTAATATGCTTAATTGGTAGTAGGCTTTCGAGCCTATACAGCTTGGAGTAAGACAACATGCATGAAGAGGATGATGTGGACAAAATACTCATTTGCCTAATAATTATGCACCCCCTGTATATATATATATATATATATATATGTATATATATATATATATATATATATATACAGGGTGGGCCATTTATATGGATACACCGTAATAAAACGGGAATGGTTGGTGATATTAAAGTCCTTTTTGTGGCACATTAGTATATGTGAGGGGGCAAGATGGGTGGTGACCATGGTGGCCATTTAGAAGTCGGCCATCTTGGATGCAACTTTTGTTTTTTCAATAGGAAGAGGGCCATGTGACACATAAAACTTATTGGTAATGTCACAAGAAAAACAATGGTGTGCGTGGTTTCAACGTAACTTTATTCTTTCATGAGTTATTTACAAGTTTCTCTTTGTTCACAGCCATTGACATGTCGAGGAGGTTAACACGTGAGGAGCGGATCGAAATTGTGTTGATATCTGGTGAACGCAGTAACCGGGTCATTGCAGCAGATTTCAATGCAACACCCTACGAGACCACCCATCTTCCATGCTACAGTTAGCAAACTGCTTGCTCAGTTTTGTGAAACTGGTTCAGCGTTGGATTTGCCAAAATGTGGACGCAAGAAAACTGTCACTAATGAAGAAACATCAGTGGCTGTCCTAGCTTCACTCAGCAAGAGCCCACAGCGTAGCACTCGCCGCATGTCACTGGAGAGTGGCATTAGTCGAACATCCCTTCGGCGGATATTAGCTACTCACAAATGGCACCCTTACAAACTCCAGCTACCCTCAGTTCACGCAGAAGATTTTGTTCAGTGATGAGGCAAACTTTTATGTGAATGGTGAAGTTAACAAACAAAACCACCGCTATTGGTCTGACACTAACCCAGATTGGATGGATCCCTCCAAGACTGTTGGAACAACAAAAGTGATGGTCTGGTGTGGTATATGGGGTACAACGATAGTGGGTCCATTCTTCATCAAGGGAAACCTCAAGGCCACTGGATATTTGAAATTGCTACATGATGATGTGTGTCCCTCTTTATGCACTGAAGCTGGCACGTTCCCTGAGTTTTTCCAGCAAGATCGTGCACCACCAAATTATGGGTGCCAGGTCCGAGCATTCCTATTTGAACAGTTTCCTGGAAAGTGGATTGGTCGTCGTGGGCCAGTTGAATGGACCCCAAGGTCTCCCGATCTGACCCCCTTAGACTTTTATCTTTGGGGTCATCTGAAGGCAATTGTCTATGGTGTGAAGATACGAGATGTGCAGCACCTGAAACTACGGATACTGGATGCCTGTGCTGGCATTTCTCCTGCGGTGTTGCTATTAGTGTGTGAAGAGTGGGAGAAGAGGGTTGCATTGACAATCCAACACAATGGGCAGCACATTGAACACATTTTAAAAGTGGTCAGAAACTTGTAAATAACTCATGACAGAATAAAGTTACGTTGAAACCACGCACACCATTGTTTTTCTTGTGATATTACCAATAAGTCTGATGTGTCACATGGCCCTCTTCCTATTGAAAAAACAAAAGTTGTATACAAGATGGCCAACTTCTAAATGGCCACCATGGTCACCACCCATCTTGAGGAGTTTGCCCCCTCGCATATACTAATGTGCTACAAACAGGACTTTAATATCACCAACCATTCCCATTTTATTACGGTGTATCCATATAAATGGCCCACCCTGTATATACACATTCAAGTACAAACACTGAATGAGACTGTTGTGACTGTACCTGCAGCTCCTGTCTTCACATTAGCATAAACAGCACTCTGCTCTGGTTTTTGATGCTTCCCTGTTAAGATGATCGAATCCACAAAAGAAAAATAATTAATACGTTTTTAAACATTTCAAAAACATTTTTTCTACATTCTATGTTTTGTGTACTCACACTTTTTCCAAAGTTTTCCAGTTCAATATTAGAGTAAATGACATCTCGGGGTTTATCTGCACCTAAAATGTTCATATTTTTGTTACACAATTGTAAACCAATGACAGCGTACCAGTTACCTTAAATTCTTTTATTGCATGTAGTCTGTTGGTTATTTAGATGTTTGTCCAACTGAATTTTGATAAATGTTCTTCAAAAAACTGCTGAGGACAAACTGAACCTACGTCATGTAAAGGTTAATGGAGATCGGGAAAGACCAGATGTGGGGAAGACAAGTGTCCTAGGGTCAGCTGTGGGGACAGTAGGGAGACCTCCACCCGTTGCTCCACCACCACAAGATGTTCCATGATTAATGGAGCAAAACATCAATGAAGGGTGGCTCCCAGCTGATGACCCTTCAGCTACCATGATGTAACCGTTGGAGGTGCAACAGGTAACAATGTGTAGCAGGTAACTGCCTGTGCTTCCTTCAAGGTCCCTGAATGGTTGACCCGGGTTTTGATGTTTTGCTTTCTCTGGTTTTCTAGTTTTTGATAATTCTTAGTTTCATAGTTCTGTATTTTGTATTGTTGACATTCTCGTTTTCTCGTATGATGTTATGTTTACATTACAGTTATCTGTCTATTTGGTTAATGAGAGGTTGTTTATCCCCTTGTGTTCTCACTCTGTTCTTTCTCTCTGGTCTCCATGTTTTGTCTACTGTCTGCATCAAGCTCGTGTGTCTTAGTCCAGGTCTCAGTGTCAGTCATTTCCTGTTTTATTTTGGTCTCTGTTCTCATCTGTATCTTGTGTCTAGTTTTACATCCACCATAGTCATTCTGTTAACCTCTTTTCCATTAGTAACTACTCAGGTCAGGTCACCATGGTTTTCAGGGTTTTCCATCAGGTCATAGGTCCTGTTTAGAGATGGACCGATCCGATATTACGTATCGGTATCGGTCCGATACTGACCTAAATTACTGGATCGGATATCGGAGAAAAATAAAAAATGTAATCCGATCCATTAAATATCACGAAAGCACCTCGCAAAACTTGCAACACGCCGTAACTCACCTCAGAACGTTAGCACGTCGGAGCAGTATGCGTCACGTGATAGAGCGGCTGTGGCATGCGGGACCTGTCGGTGGTCTGGATAGCATTTGGAGCTTCGCTAGCAACCCGGCATTTCATCTCCGACAAAGTTATCCCCAAGAGAAGTAAAGCAAGTGTGTAAGTCCATCTCTGAATGTTTGTAAAGCATTCCTGCGTTAAGCTTAACAAGTGACTGCCTCTTCTTGCTGCTACTTCAATCATGAAACTGCTTAATGATCAGCTGATCGGCTTTTCTGTCGCGAGTCCGTCTCTCTTGTTTGTTTTTGGCCCACTTTGCACCAGAAAGAGGAAACCAGCGGCTGAACAACAGCAGCACGTTTAAGCTTGATAAGCTGTTGTTAGAATTTATTTAATATTACTTTCTACACCAGGATCTTTTTCTACGTAGCTGACGCTGGTAACTGTGCAGGGGCGGATCTAGCAAAGTTTAGCCAGGGGGGCCGATAGGGCATTAACAGGGAAAAGGGGGCACAAAGACATACTTTTCTTTCTTATTCTCATTTAAAATGTCTAGCTTTTAATAAATAATTATCTGACACCCAAAGTTTTAATTTGATGTAAAAGGAATAGAAGTCAATTACTGTATATAGTGACTATTAAGTCTAATATATATACCCTAGTAAGCTATAGTACTTTTTCCTTTGGGACGGTACTATCTGTGCAGTCTGCAATTTTGTTGAAGAAAGATGTTGAATCTATTTAATATTTCTTGAAAAATAATTGATTTCTGTGCATTTTTTTTCACACTGCATCAAATTAAGGTTGATTACGTCGATTAAGCATCATGAGGTGGAGCGTGAGGGGTGGTTCCCTATTTTTTATTTATTTATTTTTGTTGTTGCTGGGAGTTGGAACCCTATTAGTTAGGTTGCTTAATATTTACGCTAAGTACTCTTTAAAATACCAGAATAGGGAGGATGGTGTAGGTTTAAGTTTATTAGATTGATCAGTATTGCTGAACTATGAAATATTTTTTTTTGCATACAGGTATAACAGAATAGCTTTAGTGTAGTTGTTGTTTTAAACTTGAATATGAACTTATACAAAATGCAGCAAGATATTTAAAAAAACAGTTTTGTTGATTAAAAAACACTATATCGGATTCATATCGGTATCGGCAGATATCCAAATTTATGATATCGGTATCGGTATCGGACATAAAAAAGTGGTATCGTGCCATCTCTATTCCTGTTACCAGGTACTTTTTCAGTATTTACTCAGCCGGAGTTCCAGGCGACCCGAGGCGATCCCAAAATATGACGTCATCAGCCTGCATCCCACTGATTGGCTGGTCAGTGGCATCACTTGATGACTTATGAGAGTATTTCGTTGATGAAAATAAAAAGAGCCATTTTTGAAACCCAACAATGAGGAAAACAGCTGCAAAAGCAACATCATGGTCCCAGAGTGTGACGAAAATTCGCAGACTGAGCAGCAGGTTTATCATCGCCTCAACGTCCACCTTCATTGTAGTGTGTGTGACGCATCCTAATTACGTCATAGGATGCTCAGCCACGTTGCTATTAGGACGACCACACACATTAGGTGGTACTTGATTGTAATAGAAAACCAATCAATACGATTTGAATAGTTGTGAGTTGATCCGAGTAGGTACTAATGGAAAAGGGGCATTAGTTATCACTGTGTTCCCACCTGTTTCCCATCATCTCATTATCCTGTGTTTTATAGACTGCCTCAATCTTCCTTTACTGTCACATCCTTCATCATAGTTTGTTTTAATAAGATTTGTAGAAATTTGGTTTCTTAGTTTTTGTTTTTGTTTTATTTGGATAACTTTCTAAGTTCTGTGATAAAGTTGTGTTTTAGTTTAGTAACCGTGACAGATACTCAATGAAATGTCAATACTACTACTACTAATACGATGACTATGACTACTACTACTACTAATAATAATAATAATTATAATAATAAAAACAGAAAAGAGGCTCTTACACTTGGACTGTCTGCAGCGATACAACAAGAGCAGGAGAATAATAATGAGAGAGACTCCACAAACCAGTCCAACAATCATCCACACAGGAGATGAAGAGCTGTCAGCTCCTGACACAGTCACGTAACAAAAAACAGAAATTAATTAATAAATTATAATCTTATGAATAAATACATTTATAAAATAGAGCCAAGTGACTTTAAGAATTAAATCAGACAATCTAATGTTCCTTCTCAGTCACTAAACTCATTTACAAAAACGTATAAATTGTTTTGATCCTGCTCACCTTTAACTGACATCCAGCTCTGTGCTGACTCTCTTCCTGAGTACTGACACTTGTAGAAACCTTCATCAGACTTTGACACTGCAGAGATCTTCAGCTCCCCTCGGGGATCATTTTGAATAAGTTTGTCATTGTGATAGAAAAACACATTGGAAAGTATTTTATGTGTTCTCAAACTGCAGCTCAGACTAACAGAAGCTCCCTCAGTCACAGGATGAACAGGACTCACCAGGATAGGACCATCACCATCATCTGTGACACAATCACACACAATTGTTTCAGTCACATCAGCTGGTGCACACTTTTAGAAAAAGCTGACAAACAATAATAAGAACAGATTGTACAAATGTTTTTCATCATGAAGATCTGATCTTGTGTATTTAAAAACTGCTGTATGTGTTTTATTTTTCCACATGAAATGACTTCACATACAGCAAAGGTGGGACAAAAGTTCATGTCACGTCTAAATCATTAACAACCAAGAAGTAAATGTATAATAACATACTCTGTACAGTGATGTTGACTGCACTGCTGAACTCTCCTGATCCAGACTCACACCAGTACACTGCAGTATCTGACTTTGTTGTGTTGATGTTACATGTGGATCCAGTCATTCTCCTACAGTCAGAGTACAGTCGGCCGTCCTCAGAGAACTTCCTCACTCTCCACTCAGTGAAGTTTCCCTCACAGGTCAGTGAGACAGAGTCAGAGGTGAAGTGTTGCACTCTGTCAGGACTCACTGTGAGAGACGCTGCTGAATGAACATCTGGAAACAACATGCAGTGAAGAGACAAAGCTCACAGATGTTACAATTTTTTTTATTTTTATTTTTTTAATGGCAACGATTACCTATCTCCTTATCTGTCAGGGTTTTCCTCATATTTGTCAGAGCCGTTAACTAGTTAGCATTCTCTCTTTATCTTTTTTTTTTTAAATTTCGTATTTTTGGCTGTTTTATCTATACATGCACTTTTATCTAAGTGAAAATAATTACAATTAATAAACACAAAGCTTCTTACTTTTTTTGATAGTGACAGTGTAGAGAGACAGGAAAGCAGGGAGAGTGAAAGGGGAAGACAAACAGCAAAGGGACACAGGTCGGACTGCTGCCTAGCCATACGGCATATAGGGTCACCTACTTATTTCACTGAGCTAAACATTAAACAAGTTTTAAATAAAGACTTTAATCACAATCAGAAATGAAAAGATTCAATTCTCCTTTGGGTGACCTTTGGAGGTAAACAACAGCTGCACTGGTTATAAGAGAATCAAACTGACCTGCAGACCAGACAAACTTTGGTTGACTGTGATCAGTGTGATACTCTGGGTCTCCTCTTCCAGCTCTGCACACATATCCTGCTGTGTGTGTCTGTCCATGAATGATGTAGGAGTCCTGTGCAATCCCACTGCCATCAGGTAGCAGCTCATAACTGGAGGATTTCTCTGATAGATCAGGAACAGCTTTATACCAGTAGAAGCTCCATCCTGCAGACGGATGTTCAACCTCACAGTTCAGAGTTACTGAGGCTCCAGGACTCAGCCATGATGGAGACACAGTGAGGACAGGACGAGGTTCATCTGTTCAACAAAGATTTTCTCTCAATCTTTCGTCTCTTAACTCTGAATTCAATGTCACTAAAATGTTGACTCACAAATATTTATGATGAACTTTCAGAGTGAGACTATCTAAACATGTCAAATATCTCAACATGTACTAATAAAAACACATTTTTACAAACTGTTTCTATTTCCAGGTTAAATGAACTATGTCTCTACTTACTGTCAGAAACTGTCAGTGTGACTGAATCACTCCACTCTGTTGTTTCATGCTGTGAACTTTTCATTCTGCCCCTACAGCGATAGTTTCCACTGTTGGATGATGAAGCAGATCTAATCCTGTATTCATTTTGATTTGGAGCTTTTATCATGCTGTTTGTTTCCCACTCATAATCCCACTCAGTGTCTCCTCCATGGATCTCACATCTGACAGTGATCGTCTCTCCTCTGTATATCTCAGACCAGTTTGGATACAGAGTCACAACAGGCCTGATTGGGACTGTATTCAGGAAATGAACAAGTGAATGACAAAAGGGGTCAATTTCCATCAGATACTTTTCATCAGGTAGTGATTTGGGGTTCATTAACTTTGAACTGACCAGTTTTCCCAATCCTGACTGACTGGCTGTCCTCTGTGTAGTAAACTGGGTTTCCTCTTCCTCCTCTGCACCTGTAGAGTCCTTCCTGTGAGACACTGATTTGTCCATTTGAGTGGAAAACTGCATCTTGTGTGGTCAGGGCTTCAGAGGATTTCTCATCTCTGTACCAGTAGTATTTCCATCCAGATGATGATGATGGGTTCACAGAGCAGGTCAGGGTCACACTGCCCCCTACTGGAACAGCTGTGTTATCAGCTCTCAGTTTGGCCTTTGGTTTATCTGCAGTTCAGTTTAGAAAAAGAACAAAAGTCAATGACTGAATCAAACCAGTTTAAATAACTTGGTGGAAATATGGAAATAATAAATATCACATAACTTTAATGGTGAAGCTGCAACAAACTGTACAACTATCACACAAACACAACACTAATCTTTCATATTTAATTGGCTGCATTTCTAAGTTAAAAACACACATGAGGAACAATCAGTGGATTTAATGTTTCTTAGTGGATGTGGTGGAGCAGCTGAGACAGATCCAGCATTTGTTCTGCATTTCATCTTTCATGTATTAGAGCTGCACAGCAGAGAAGTTACTCTCATATGTTTTGTTCTCTTCACTGTGAATAAAAAGCTGCTGTTCAGGTTTTTGTTGTTGGAATAAAAACTAAACATTTTACTGACCAACATGAAAGACAGTTATAAAGCTGTAAGAAAGAAGAAGTGCTTTTTCCTTATTTAGATACTCTGGATGAAAGATCTTACATGATACAGTCAGTGTGATGATATCACTCCACTCTGTGAAGAAATAGTCCCTTCTGCCCCGGCAGCTGTATCCTCCACTGTCAGACTCAGTAGCTCTGATGATTCTGTATTCATTGGATGTTGGAGGTGTGTTTAACTTGGCTGCTCTCCATTCATACGTCCACTGAGCTCCTTCACCTCCCTGAATCTCACATCTGACAGTGACTGTCTCACCGCTGTATATCTGAGTCCAGGATGGCTGCAGGGTCACAGTGGGCTTACTGGGAACTGTTCACAGACAAATATCCAGTTAGACACAAATAGAAACATGAAGATAAAAAAATAAGACGCAATAAATTCTTCTATTTGTCAGGAGGTGTCTCTCATCTCAGGTTTAATTAACTCACAGTTGAATGAAATTGTTAGCACAGGACACAAAATGACATCTCTCAGTTTGGCAGAAATAAAATTATTAATCTCACGAGTTTCTGTAACTGTGACGTCACTGCTGTCCTCTGTGTAGTAAACTCGATCTCCTCTCCCTCCTCTGCAGTGGTACAGACCTCCTTGTGAGACACTAATAACTCTGTTTGCTTCATTTCCTCTCATGAGCTGAGCTTTAAAAGAGACTGAATCACGTCTGAACCAGTCAAACTTCCAGCCAGCAGAGCCCTCCACAGAGCAGCTCAGTGTCACACTGCCCCCTGCTGGTATGACTGAACTTTGTGCTGTCAGTGTGGCTCTGGGTTTACTTGCTGTTGTAGTTACAGGAAAACATACATCATATTATCCTTTAGTTCAGGGAAAATAACAATAACAAAATTAATTAATTAATAAGAAAATAAATATTCAAACTTCAAATACCAGTTCAGTTTTGAATGAACACCAAAGAGTAGTAGACAGATGTAAACATGAAAACATGAAATGTCAGCATGAATCATGGTCCAACTCACATGAAACTGTCAGTCTGAAGGCATCACACCATCCTGTTAAGAGATAGTCACTGCTACCCCAACATCTGTAGTATCCACTGTGGGACACTGAAACTCTGCTGATCCTGTATTCACTGGATGTTGGAGGGCTGTTTGTGTTGGGTGCTGTCCATTCATATTTCCACACCTTTCCTTCACCTCCCTGAATCTCACATCTGAGAGTGATTGTCTCACCAGTGAATATCTGAGACCAGCTGTGCTGCAGTTTCACAGCAGCCAAAACTGTTCAACAAACAAATAAACGAACACAAATATTTAAAATATAAAATCAAGATGGAATAATATGTATATATAAAATTGACAGTTATCAAGTATTACTTTCAATTATTTGTGCCTCACCTTGTTTCTGAATTGTAACTGCAGCACTGTCCTCTGTGGAGAAAACTGGATCTCCTCTCCCTCCTCTGCAGTAATAGATGCCTCCTTCTGAAATACTGATCGTGTGCTCTGATGTTCCAGCTCCTATTTTCTGAGCTCCAGAAAACTGTGAAACACGTCTGAACCAGTCAAACTTCCAGCCAGCAGAGCCCTCCACAGAGCAGCTCAGTGTCACACTGCCCCCTGCTGGTATGACTGAACTTTGTGCTGTCAGTGTGGCTCTGGGTTTACTTGCTGTTGAAGTTACAGGGAAAAGTTCATCAGATTGTTTCACGAATGACTTTGACTCAACATGTACTAATAAAAACACATTTTTACAAACTGTTTCTATTTCCAGGTTAAATGAACTATGTCTCTACTTACTGTCAGAAACTGTCAGTGTGACTGAATCACTCCACTCTGTTGTTTCATGCTGTGAACTTTTCATTCTGCCCTTACAGCGATAGTTTCCACTGTTGATGATGAAGCAGATCTAATCCTGTATTCATTTTGATTTGGAGCTTTTATCCTGCTGTTTGTTTCCCACTCATAATCCCACTCAGTGTCTCCTCCATGGATCTCACATCTGACAGTGATCATCTCTCCTCTGTATATCTCAGACCAGTTTGGATACAGAGTCACGACAGGCCTGATTGGGACTGTATTCAGGAAATGAACAAGTGAATGACAAAAGGGGTCAATTTCCATCAGATACTTTTCATCAGGTAGTGATTTGGGGTTCATTAACTTTGAACTCACCAATTTTGTCAATCCTGACTGACTGGCTGTCCTCTGTGTAGTAAACTGGATCTCCTCTTCCTCCTCTGCACCTGTAGAGTCCTTCCTGTGAGACACTGATTTGTCCATTTGAGTGGAAAACTGCATCTTGTGTGGTCAGGGCTTCAGAGGATTTCTCATCTCTGTACCAGTAGTATTTCCATCCAGATGATGATGATGGGTTCACAGAGCAGGTCAGGGTCACACTGCCCCCTACTGGAACAGCTGTGTTATCAGCTCTCAGTTTGGCCTTTGGTTATCTGCAGTTCAGTTTGAAAAAGAACAAAAGTAAATGACTGAATCAAACCAGTTTAAATAACTTGGTGGAAATATGGAAATAATAAATATCACATAACTTTAATGGTGAAGCTGAAACAAACTGTACAACTATCACACAAACACAACACTAATCTTTCATATTTAATTGGCTGCATTTCTAAGTTAAAAACACACATGAGGAACAATCAGTGGATTTAATGTTTCTTAGTGGATGTGGTGGAGCAGCTGAGACAGATTCAGCATTTGTTCTGCATTTCATATTTCATGTATTAGAGCTGCACAGCAGAGAAGTTACTCTCATATGTTTTGTTCTCTTCACTGTGAATAAAAAGCTGCTGTTCAGGTTTTTGTTGTTGGAATAAAAACTAAACATTTTACTGACCAACATGAAAGACAGTTATAAAGCTGTAAGAAAGAAGAAGTGCTTTTTCCTTATTTAGATACTCTGGATGAAAGATCTTACATGATACAGTCAGTGTGATGATATCACTCCACTCTGAGAAGAAATAGTCCCTTCTGCCCCGGCAGCTGTATCCTCCACTGTCAGACTCAGTAGCTCTGATGATTCTGTATTCATTGGATGTTGGAGGTGTGTTTAACTTGGCTGCTCTCCATTCATACGTCCACTGAGCTCCTTCACCTCCCTGAATCTCACATCTGACAGTGACTGTCTCACCGCTGTATATCTGAGTCCAGGATGGCTGCAGGGTCACAGTGGGCTTACTGGGAACTGTTCACAGAAAAATATCCAGTTAGACACAAATACAAACATGAAGTCATTTTGAAGCCTGGTTTTCTTTTTTCTGTTGTTCAGAGGAGAAAGATTTACTGCATCCTGGTGACACTTTGACTTTAAATGAAGCTGGATTTAAAAGTCAGTGTTTACATTTATTTACCGTGTGGTACACGTGTGTGGTGGCCCACTGGTGTATCTGACTCACACAGCCTGTTCTCCACACACTCCACATTTATAAAGTGATCTACAAATCCTAACATTACAGCTAACAGCTGCATTTTCCCTTTGAAGAACCACTTACAGCTACAGAGACAGGGAGTGAAGGTGGACAGTATATCCTTGTTTTTATGGCAACAAATTTACCTTGAAAGTGGTACAACTGTGTATAATATGATTCACAAGCAGAAAGTAAGATTTACAGATGTGTGCAGTGATTTGTGTGCAACTTTTCAGGTCTCCAGTTCACACAAACTATTGTACAAATGTGTCGACACAAACCTGAGTAACTGCTGATCATTGAGGCACAAATTTTAACGTCTGGATTGTTTTTCAGATTTCTTTCTTTAAAATTCATCGTCCATAATTCAGGATGATAATAAATATACTTAATACAATACAAGATGTCTTAATAAGAAGAAGAGCTTTTTTACCTTTAAGAACTTTTAACAAAAACTTTAAAGAGGAGAAAAACAGCACAGGCCTGTGCAGGCCTACTTTAAATAAAGCATCATTCTGCAGGTCAGTTTGAGTTCAGAATAAGTAAATAAAATGTAGCTGTGGTCCAATAATTGTAAAATAAGAAGAATAATCATGAAAACTATTTGTATATAATTATGTCTTCAGTCCATTTCAATGAGCGATCATCTTCTGTTGTTTTCATGCAGCCACGGGCAGCCCTGAGTATAAAATACATCAGCTCAGGGTCGAAAACATAAAGATATTTATTGCACAATAACAGCATATCTGGTGATAATACACAGCTCACAACACCTTAAATACATGTGGACGAATCACCTGACACGCACAGATCACGTCTCGTGCCCACGTGGGGTTTTGAGTCTAATTTAACTGCCAGCTTCACACAGATCCACAAATGTGAGCTGCTTTCAAGTCACAAATCATTGCTTGTTGATCATATCGTGTGTGTTTGTAACACTTTCAACACAAATTTGTCTCCTTATGGAAAGCAGACTTGTCATGTTGACATGAGTGTCAGAACGGCAGGTTTATCTCCAGATCCACGGCTCTGACCCACGGAGACCTCTGGCTGATACTCAGTGTTCTGAGTTTGCCTCGTAGCTGCTAACTAGCTTTCTGCTCTGGGTCAACTTATGGCAAAGTGCAGAGATGGAGAGAGGCGTGGGAAGGTTACAGCAGCACACTTTCTTCCTCTGGAGGCGGTGAACACAGTGAACAGCTGGATAATACATGTGGCTCACAGCTGGCCTGTCAGACTCTCTTGGCTGCAGTAGCTGCTGCTATAAACACACTTTTCTTTTTCTCACTCTGTAAACTTCCTCCTGCAGATGTTGGGGATGTTGTGTGGGACTTTTATTTTTCATTTTTTCACCCAAAGCTTGCGGGAGCCACAGCTGAGGGGCGGAAGAGCCGCGGGTTACCGACCCTGATCTGACCTGATGTTAGCTGAGCTGTTGATGACCTCGGATGACAAGATGTTCAGGATTAACCTTTATTTTTGTTTGTTTGTTTGTTTGTTTTTATGGCTCTATGGCTTAATACACAGTCTTTCATGTCCACTTAAAGTCAGTTTAGGATAAAGAAGCATTTAGAAAGAGAGGCCAAAAATATTTAATAAAATACAATTTAAAGACTAACAGCAGCTAATGAGCTATAAATATGCAGGTTTTTCTAGTTTTTTTGGAGTTGATACCACAATGTTTATTTCTACATTTGTATGAAACACATGAGAAACTTAATAGAAAGTTTAAAACTCACAAGTCTCCACAACTGTGACGTCACTGCTGTCCTCTGTGTAGTAAACTGGATCTCCTCTCCCTCCTCTGCAGTGGTACGACCTCCTTGTGAGACACTAATAACTCTGTTTGCTTCATTTCCTCTCATGAGCTGAGCTTTAGAAGAGACTGAATCACGTCTGAACCAGTCAAACTTCCAGCCAGCAGAGCCCTCCACAGAGCAGCTCAGTGTCACACTGCCCCCTGCTGGTATGACTGAACTTTGTGCTGTCAGTGTGGCTCTGGGTTTACTTGCTGTTGAAGAAACAGGAAAACATACATATTATCATTTACTTCGGGGAAAATAACAATAACAAAATGAATTAATTAATAAGAAAATAAATATTCAAACTTCAAATACCAGTTCAGTTTCGAATGAACATCAATGAGTAGTAGACAGATGTAAACATGAAAACATTAAATGTCAGCATGAATCATGGTCCAACTCACATGAAACTGTCAGTCTGAATGCATCACTCCATCCTGTGAAGAGAT